TGGCTGCATCCCAAGCCTGTTTTTTTAAATCACACAGTTGTAGGGCCTGGGATGTAGCTCAGTGGTGTCATGCCTGCTTGGCAAGCACAAAGTCCTGAGCTTGATCCTGATACTGGAAAAAAATAAAATAAGTCACACAGTTGTCTTTCCTTTGGTTGCATGATGTAAATTTAAGGAGGGGAGAGAGTTATTCTGGGGTTCCTCTCATAGAGACAAGTATTCAGGTGAGGCAAAGTTTTATTTTAAGTTTTTACTGAGAACATATTGGACATGTAGTTATGGGATAAGGGTAAGGGAACAATCTGGTGAAAAGGCTTTGAATATCTGCAGTGCAGAGAGCTTATTTGTAGGTACAATATTATGGAAGATGATTGAAAAACACTGGGCCGGGGATTTAGCTCAGTGGTTCCACTGCCTGCCTTGCAAGCACAAGGACTGGAGTTCAATCCCTGGTACCAAAAAAGAAAAAAGAAAAATAGTAAGTACTGAAATCATTGGAACTAGAATGGTAAGTGAAAGAGATGTTAGTCTTAACAGTCTAGCCAGGTTTTGTAATAAAGACGCTGAACACATTACTCTTTCTAGGTAGAGAATGAGAATGAAACTAGATGGGGTTAATAGTTCCCTACCCTGCACACTAAAAACACTTCAGAGGGCTGGGCTTGTTAGGGAAACCTGTCTCCTAGACAGGTAGGTGGGTGGGTGTATGGATGGATGGGCGGGCAGGCAGATAGATGGGCCAGGGATATAACTCAGTGTGAAGGCCCAGCGTTCAGTCACCAATGTGGTTTCAAAAAGGGAGCCTTTTAAGTTTTTTCCTACTACTTTTTCTTAATAAGTGTTGCTTAGTGAGCAGCTTTTGAGTTGCTACACATCTCTTGGAAACAAGTTGCTGTTTATTGTCAGTGGAAACACTTTTGTTTGTTACATTACAGGTTATAAGTGGGAGTGAGCACTGGTAAACAATGTTGGCATGCTCAGTAGTTTTTCTTATTTCTTTATGATAAATGAAAAATTTTCATAAATAAGAATAACAGCAGTTTATTACAGTGTGTGGTTATCTTCAAATTACTCAGTACAAGACATAAAGATTCTTATAAAAAAGAAGGTAAACTATTAGTATAAATGAAACAAGCTGGGCGTGGTGGTGTACGCCTGTAATCCCAGGCTGAGGCAGGAGGATCACTGAGTTCGAGACCAGCCTGGGCTACATAGTGAGTTCCAGGTCAGTCTCAACTACATTGTGAGACCATGTCTCAAAAAAAAGTGGGGGAGGGGCTGGGGATTTAGCTCAGCAGTTTGGTGGCCTGCCTTGCAAGCACAAGGACTGGAGTTCATTCCCCGGTACCAAAAAAAAGAAAAAAACCCAAGTATAAATGAAACAAATTAGCATATACATTGCAATATTCAAACAAAATAGAATCTGGAAAAGCATTTTAATTTCTCCATATTTCCCATTCCTAGTTTGCTTTTTCTCATATAAGAGAAACTGTGATATGGAGCTTATGTGTCTGCCTTGTTTTGAGACAGGGTCTCACTATGTAGCTCAGGTTGTCCTTGAACCCATGGCAGTCTTCCTGCCTCAGCCTCCTGAATTCAGGAATCACAGGTGTGCGCCACCATGCCTTGCTTATTTGCCTTATTAAAGGAAAACTTAAGGGGTACTATTTGTACTTATTCATTCCTATATGTAATTTAAGAATTGAGTGTAAATAGTTTTATAGAAAAATATTCTTAACAATAATCGTAAAATCTCAAGAGTTAAAAAGGAAAAATAGGTACCAGATTGAATTTTCCCCTCAGCATCCTAGATACATTGTTGGCAGTCCTATATTAACCTGTTATCTGGGGACTCACCAACAAGAAACCTTGTTCCATCTTTCTTTATATGGCTCTGATGATTAGAAATTTTCTTTTTAACATTGAAAGAGTTAAAAACCAACTCTCTTGAGACCATTGGGGGGCCATAATAAAACAAATTTATTTCTGCTTGTTAATGAGAAGTTTCTGAGTTGATGGGTAATTAGCTTCATATTTTGATTTTTTTCATCTAATTACCTGAGGCTTTTTTTAAAAAAATCGGATCATTTTTTCCACTTTTTAAAAAAACGTTTAGTGCATGTTGTTTACATAGAGTAATAGGTTTCATTTTGGAGATTTGCATGTGTGTGTTAAATACTTCAGTTACTCCCAACACCCTCCTGTTCCATCCTCCCATAGGTTCACATTTCTTGAGGGGGTTCAATGTATGTAGTGCATTTGGTTCCTATTCATCGCTACATCACACCCCTCCCCCATTCCTTTCCTCTTGTCTAATAAAAAATCTCCCTTTCATTTTTTGTCATCTGTTTTAGATTCCGCATATTAGGGAGAACATGCAATACTTTCCTTTTTTTCAAAAGTAGGGAAATATATTGGGGAGTAGGAATAGCTCCTGAAAGATAGGAGGGGTCCTAAATGGGTTGCCCAATATTTTTCTGACTGGTTTGTTTCTTATACAGTCATTCATTTATTGGGTTTTTGAGGTAGGGTCTTACTGTGTAGCCCAGGTTGGCCTTGAAAATTTGATAATCCTACCTTAGTCTCCTGAGTACTAGGATTATAGGTATGACCACCATACCTGGCTGCTGACTGGTTTATTTCTGATTCTTCTGTTTTTCTATAAATGACAAAATTTTGGCCTCTTTTATGGCTGAATTATACTCCGTTTTGTATATATGTATATCACATTTTATTTGTGTATTCCCCTGATGGGCACCTAGGCTTGCCCCACAACCTGGCTGTTGTATGTCGTGTTGCAGTAAGCATAGGTCTGAAGTATCGCCAGAGTATGCTGACAATTAACTCCTTTAGCTATTTAAAAAGGAGTGGTATAGGTGGATCAAATGGTAGATTTAGTTTCTGTTCCTGAGGAACCTTCCTGTTGATTTCCATAGTGGCTGTGCTAATTTGCGTTCCTACTGACAGTGTAAAAGGGTTCCTTTTGCTCTATATCCTCATTTGCTTTTTGTATTCTTTGGTTTCTTTTTCTTTCTTTTTTTTTTTTTTTTGTATCAGGAATCAAACTCATGACCTTGTGCTTGCCAGGCAGGTGCTGTCCCACTGAGCTATATCCCTAGCCCCTTGTTTTTTGTATTCTTGATGATAGCCATTGTTTTCAGTTTCAGTATATGTATGTGCTGCCAAAGTAAACATCAAGATAGCCATTTTGTCTGGGATAAGATGGAATCTTTATAGTTTTGATTTGCATTTCCATAATCACCTCTGATACCAGGTTGCTCTGCATATCTTGGTGTTGAGACGTTTCATCTAATTTATTCATATTTCCTTTGAAATGTGTCAGCACACAGAATATGTTATTTGGAAGGCAGAGGTTTGGTTTAATTTTTATTACTTTTGTTTCTTTGAGACTGGGTATTGGTATGTAGTTCAGGCTGATCTGAGCTCGCAATGTATCCCAGGCTGGCCTCAAAGGTGCAGCAATCCTCCTGCTTCAGTCTCAAGATTAAAGGCTTGTGTCACTGTGCCCAAATTAGTACTTTGCTTTTAAAACTAGCCTTCAGTAAAGCCAGGTGTGGTGGTTCACACCTATAATCCCAGCACTGGGAGGCTGAGCAGGAGAGTTGCCACGAGTGTGAAGCCAGTCTGTACTACGTAGTTCAAGGCAGCCTGAACTACAAAAAACCCTGTCTCACAAAAAGCAAAACAAAATTTTAGTAGTTATTTCTCATGTTGCTTATAACAGCCTTTTCAAATTAGATTAAGTAGATTTATATCTATATGGTATATTAATTGTTCAGAATTTTTGTCTTTTGAGATAGGGTCTTGCTATGTAGCCCAGACTGGCCTCGAACTCACAGTGATCCTCCTGTGTTAGCCTACCACATGCTGGGATTTATTGTTTTTGTGTCTTCAAGAATGCAGCCTCCAAAATACAAATAAAGCTTTTGTAAATAAGGAGAGAAAGGCTGAAAGGATGGGAGGGGATTGGGGGGAAAAAAGAATCAAGATATATTATTACAGATACACATTCATATGATGAATGTGATTGTTATGCATAAAGTGTACCAATAAAATTAATTTAAAAGGAGTGCAAGTTTCAGGAAGTCAGAGATCGTCTGTGTCACTTACCACACTGTATCCTTAAGTAGTTATCTAGTCATTGAAGGAATGTCTTTACTTCTGTGTATGTTGTACTTTCATTTAATAGATAGCTTGTAACAAAAAGAAATACTTACTTTACCGTTTTAACTTACTGTTCTCCTTTTTCACTGACACTCCAGAGACACTTTCTAGGGGTGGAGGTGTACACCTCCAGTTGGAAATCTCTTCCTTAATGTTGATCACCCATTCCTCACATACGTAACTACCTTTGCATTTTACTTTTTTTTTTAAACCTCCAAAAGGAATTCATGAAAGATCTTGTCAGTTGCCACATATGCAAGAATGGATAGGTTTTTAGGAATTTGATTTTGTCCCAGATGTGAGAAAAGCCTCTGGTTTGATAAATGATGTCTAATTTGAAATTCTAAGTAGAAGGATGCTAGGTTTAGTATGAGTATTGTATTTCTCTGAAAAATGCTTGTTCTTTGTGAACCTATACTTGGTCTTATTAATACACTGTGTTATGTATTGTAATATAGAAGATAGAAGCCTTTTCAGATTCTGAAGGCCTTTTCCTTTCCCATTTGCTCCACCCACCCCTTTGGTATCGGGATTCAAACTCGGGACCGTGTACTTGCCAGGCAGGCACAGTGCCACTGAGCTACGTCCCCGGCTTGCCCATTTGCTCTTAAGAACAAAAATGATTTTGTTCCCATCTGTTAGATAGAATTGGTGCTGTTTTTCTCTAATACCAAGTTTTATTCTTGTCTTTGAAATTTTATAATTTGGAGATCCATAGCTAAACATTTATATGACTTAATATATATTCTGAAGAAAACTGTTAATGAATTCTTAAAAATATTTATGTCAGTGTCTTTTTTTTTTTTCCTTACCAGAGAATGGATCTTGGAGAATGTCTGAAAGTTCATGACCTGGCTTTAAGAGCAGATTATGAAATTGCCTCCAAAGAGCAGGATTTTTTCTTTGAACTTGATGTATGTATTTTTACTTTAATGGATTATATTATCTTTGTACTGTAAAATATTTTAATATGTATTAGTATCATAATAGGAAATTTATTAGCAAATTATTTGTGGTTATGTGAAGGGTGATACTCAAGTGAAATCATGTGGGTTTTTTGTCAATACATTGTAAAATACGTTGTAAAATTGTATAAGACAGATTTTCCCCCCCTAGTACTGGAAATTGAACTGGGGGCCTTTGCTCTGAGCTTTATCTCTAGCCCTTTGGGGTTTGTTTGTTTGTTTGCTTGTTTTTGAAGCACAATCTAGCTCTGTAGTACAGGCTGGTTTTGAACTCTGTGTAGCCCAAGTTGGCCTTGAATTCAAGGTGATCCTCCTGCCTCAGACTACAGAGTGCTGGTCCTCCAAACTCTCTCATTTATTTTGAGGCAGGATCTCGCTGAATTTCGCAGGCTGGCTTTGAATTTGTGATCCTTATGCCCCAGCCTCCCAACAAGCTAAGATTACAAGTGGGTTACCACATCTGGCTAAGACTGGGATTTCTAAGAAATGTGTAGAAGCACTGCAATTAATATGTTTGAAAATTAAGTATGTAACGATTAGGAAATAGTAATTTAAACAAATACAAGCATCTAATTTCTAATGTATATAAGGTCCTTCTTTTGACGTCCACTGAGATTTTACATTCAGATTGATTTTTATATTACCCCCCACCTTTAACACTAGGGATTGAATCCAGGGCCTTTGCACCTAGCTACATTCTTAGCCCTACCCCCCTCCCCCCGTTTCAATTTTGAAATAAGAGTCTAAGTTTCCCAGATGAAGTTTGAACTTTTAGTCCTCCTGCCTTAGCCTCTCACAGTGCTGAGGTTACAGGTATGTATCACTATCCCTCTCTTGTTACCTATATATTATATATACATCTATATCATTATATATGTATTAAGGGCTATGTTTTTAATGTAAAACTAATAGAATAGAAGATACCATTAGCCATCTGAAAAGGCCCTGATAAGACTTTGTATTGTTGATTTTATATGAGAATTATATGCATATAGGGAAGGCTGTTGGGTGTGGTGAACTATAATCTCAGCTGTTTGGGAGGATGAGGCAATTTGAGGCCAGCCAGGGCAATTTAGGGATACCCTGTCTCAAAATAGTATTATTTTAGCTTTTTTTTGAGATAGAGTCTTGCTATGTAGCCCAGGTTGGCCTTAAACTTACTCTAAGTAGTGCAGGCTAGCCTCAAATTCACAGTCCTCCTGCCTCAACCTCCCAGGGTGCTAGGTTAGAGGCTTTGGCTTTATTTTACATACTTAAATTCTTTATCCATCCCTGTACTCAGCTCCAAGAGATGGAGGTTGTATTCTAGTTCCCTCTCAGCTTTTAAATAGGTGCTTAGTTGACCTAACACAATTTAATTAGTTCATTTCTCTCTTTTGAGAGGCTATGTTTATGTTCACATGAGGAAATTAGATTTCTGTTGTGATTTAATGAAAAGATAAATTTGACAAAAATAGTAAATACATAGCTGTCTTCTGTGTCATTACAGACAAAAGTCTTTTTTGTTGTTATTATACTGGAGATTGAACCCAGAGCCTTTATACTGAGGTACATCCCCCAATGTTTTTATATTTTAAATCAAGACAGAAACTCCTTGTTGCCACAGCTGGGTTTTAATTTGTCAGCCTCCTGTCTCAGCCTACCAGAATGCTGGGATTACAGGTGTGCACCGCTCCTTGTGGTTTAGATAAAAGCTTTTAAATGATCTTTATTGCTTTAAAGAAATACATTGTTTGTGTTCTCTTTCAATAAATTCCTGGGTTATCTAACAATTTTTAAAATGTAGTCTGTGCTGAAGAAATTAATATATATATATATATACATACAAATATACTTTTGTTGGTTTTTTTGTTTTGTTTTGTTTTTTTTGAGACAGGGTCTCACTATGTAGTTGAGACTGACCTGGAACTCACTTTGTAGCCCGGGCTGGTCCTCCTGCCTCAGCCTCCTGAGTGCTGGGATTACAGGCATGCACCACGATGCCCAGCTAGAAATTTATATTTTTAACTAAACAGTTATTTAAAGTTTAATTTTACATGAATTATCATTTGACCATGGATATGTTAAATATGCCTGATGAATTTTTTTTTTTTTTTGGCGTTATGAATGTCTTTTATATAAATATTGAGCTGGGTTTTTCTAGTTCAATCATTGTGAAAATTCCCAATGGTTTAATCTTTGAAAAAAAAAGAGTTTTCCTGATTGTAACACTTTCACTGTGGAACGTTTGAAAAACATAGAAAACAAGTAAAAACTATCAAAATGTTCAGAAATAACATTTTCTTTTTTCTATGCTTCTTTAACTTATATAATAGGGATTTTATTGCACATAACATTTTGTAACTTGCCTTTTGTTATTTATGGATGAATTCTGAATATTGCCATATTCCTCAAGTATCTCTTTAAATGAGCGACGATCAGAAGTTCATGGTGTTGGCTGGTTATTTACTTTCCACAGTTGTAACACTGAGTAACACTGAATAAGATCTCTGAATATTATCCCCTGCCCTCTTTCCTTTCCTTTCTTTAGTCCTCCTACCCTTTCTTCATTTTATTCATTTGGTTTTTGGTTGTTTGGATTTGTGTACTGGGAATTGAACCAGGGGCCTTGTAAGTGCTTATCAAGCACTTTACCACTAAGCTATGTTTAATATTCAGCCTTCTAGTTACATTCTTAATTTCTGGAAGTAAAATTTTACTATGTCAGGAGAAATTTGAAAAGGTTTTTGATGAGAAAAATCTCATTGCCTTTTTATAAAGGCTCCATTGGTTTTTGCTTGCTTCAACAGAATATGAAGGTAGTAATTTTTTATAGCCTTACCTTTCTGAAATTATCATTTATTCTTTGCCTGTTTGGTAGAAGTCAAATTGCATTTTAGATTTATAATTGTTTTTGTTTTTTTGGTACCAGGGATCGAACTCGGGTCCTTGCTCTTGCAAGGCAGGCCACCGAACCACTGAGCTAAATCCCCAACCTATATTTATAATTGAACCTGGCTTTTGTTACTGTTTTACTTCCATGGTAGCAGGTTTTTTTTTTTTTTGGTACCAGGATTGAACTCAGGACCTTGTGCTTTCGAGGCAGGTGGTGGAACTATTGAGCTAAATCCCTGGCCCTCATGGTAGCATTTAAAAAAAATAAAGTATAAATTGGATGTGGTTGCACATACCTGTAATCCCAGCACTTGGGAGCCTCAAGATCACCATGAGTTCATGCAACTTGGATTCTATAGCAAGACCCCATAAAAACAACAAAACAACCCAAAAAAGTAAACAAGAAAAAACCCAATGTATAGTTTTTTTTGTTTGAGACAGGGTCTCACTGTGTAGTCCAGATTGGCCTTGAACTCATGTCAATCCTCTTGCCTCAGTCTACCTAGTGCTAGGACTATCACCACGTTCAGCCAAAGTATAGTTTTGTTTTTTTTTTTGAGACAGGGTCTCACTATGTAGTTGAGACTGACCTGGAACTCACTATGTAGCCCAGGCTGGTCTCGAACTCACAGCGATCCTCCTGCCTCAGCCTCCCAAGTGCTGGGATTACAGGCATGCGCCACCATGCCCGGCCAAAGTATAGTTTTTGAATAAAGATTTATTTTTTGATGGTATTGGAGACTGAACTTAGTCCTTCACACTGAGGTATGTCTTTAGCTCTTTTTAAAATTTATTTCATTTATTTTTGGTACAGGGGATCAAACTTGGGACCTTTATTGGAAACAGGCGGTGGAACCACTGAGCTAAATCCCTAGCCTTTTATTTTAAATTCTGAGATGGTCTTATTAAGTTGCCTGGGCTAGGCTCAAATTTTGGATTCTCTTGCTCTGTGTCCCAAAGTGCTGGGGTTATAGGCATGTGCCACCATACCCAGCCCTAAAAAAAGGTATTTCAAAATAAAGTTGACATTCTAGCAGTCATTTTTAAATTTCAATTTTGTAGGCCATGGATCATCTGCAGTCATTTATTGCAGATTGTGATCGAAGAACAGAAGTGGCTAAGAAAAGATTAGCAGAAACTCAAGAAGAGATTAGTGCTGAGGTGGCTGCAAAGGTAAGAATCTCCATCATTTGGACAAAGAGTAGTTTCTTTTTTCTATTTTATTTCCTTGTTTTTCTTTTCTCTTTTTGTGTGTGTGTTTTGAGACAGAGTCTCACTGTGTAACTTTGGCTGACCTTGAACTCCCTGTAGCCCAGGCTCACCTCAAAATCATGGTAATCCTCTTGCCTCAGCCTCCCCTGTGCTAGGATTACAGGCATGCGCCACCACACCTTGTCAAAGTGCAGTTTCAACCCACTGTTTCTGTTTAACTTTTTGTTGTTTTGTTGTTGTTGTTTTTGGTGCTGGGGATCGAACTTGGGTCCTTGTGCTTGCAAGGCAGGTGGCACAACCACTGAGCTAAATCCCCAACCCCTCTGTTTAACTTTTATTTTGCAGTAGACTTACAGGAGATTCTAAAGACAGGAATTCTCTGTATTCTTTCTTTTCCTGTCCTGGAATTAACATCTGAGACAACTGTAGTATGATATCATAGAAGTCGACAATGGTCTAATCCTTATATTTTACTGAGCATTCACTAATTATGCATGCATTAATTTGTGCTTCCATGCATGTATGTATATGTGTATGTATATATATATATGTGGTTCTGTGCAGTTTTATCATATGCAAGCTTGTGTACCTATCACCTTAAGATACTTATCTGTAGGATCATCACCAGGGTTCCCTCAGTTACCCTTTTGTAGAAGCATATATCCCCCAACCCCTGCCCCTTTATCTCTTTCATTATTGTTTTGTAAATGCTGTGTGGTATAACTGTTCTTTATTCTTAACCGCCCCCCAGTACAGGGAATTGAATTCAGGACCTTGTGCTTGCCAGGCAGGCACCACATCACTGAGCTACATCCCCAACCCTGTTCATTATCCTTTTGAGATTGGCATATTGACTAGCCATTAGTAACATGAAGTTTGTCCAATTTGTGTTTTTTAGGATGAGTTCATTCCTTTTTATTTCTGAGTGGAGTACTATGGTGATACATTGAAGGACATTTGGGTTGTTTACTACTTAATGGCTCATAAAAAACTACAGTAACTTTATATATAGATTTTTGTATTGACATATGTTCATTTCTTTAGGATAAATACCCATGAATGTAATGGCTGGTTCATAATACAAAACTGTTTTAGTTTTGAAGGCCACTGTCAACCTTTTCTAGAGTGAACCATTTTACATTGCAGTGTGTGAGTTTCTCCATGTCTGTGCCAGCATTTCATGGCAACCATATTTCAGTTTTTAATCTGTCTGATAGTCCTAGGGGGATGTCTTATTGTGGTTTCAGTTTGCATTTCCCCCATGACTAATGCTGTTGGATGTCACATGTATACCTGCTTTCTATATATTCCTCTTCAGTGAAATAGCTTCGTAGATCTTTTGCCCATTCTCTAATTGTTTTGTTGGCTTTTTAAATGTTGAGTTTGGAGTGTTGTTCGTCATGTTTTGAGTTACGACTTTTTAAAAATGTTTTGTGAACTCACCACATGCTACAATTATAGGAAAAGTAGAGTGGATCCAACACCAAGTTTCAAAGCCTTTAATTTTCTGTATTTTTTTTTCATTGTTGCTTTATTTTTTTTTTAAAGCAAATTCTAGCTTTTATATTTTGCCAGTAAAGCAATCACAATATGACACTCCCAAATTAAGGTTATTTTAAAATTCTAATAGCCAGGTATGGTGGCGTACACCTGTAATCCCAGCACTTGGGAGCCTGAGGCAGGAGGATCACTGTGAGTTCGAGGCCAGCCTGTGCTATATAGTGAGTTCCAGGTCAGTCTCAACTAGTGAGACCCTTTCTCAAAAAACTAAAATAAATAAATAAGTTCTAATAGCAAGATTTGTTCATTTTCTTTTATAGAGCTAATTTTTGTAATTCTAAGCTAAACAAGGTTCTATATATTGAATTTGGTTGGCTTATGACTTTCTGCTATAACAATTCATTATAATCTCGTGCATTTAGGAAAATGCAAAATGAGAGGATTTCCCAGGTAAATTTCAGTTGACAACATTTAGATATGGTGTTCACATATGTATGTACAAAGGGAAGTCGGTTCCTTTGTTTGAGAAAAGAGTTAATTTTAGCCTTTTCTGAAAACTTGTCTGTAGATGGGGAGTCTTCAGATGTGCATCTTGAGCTATAAAGCAGCCTAGTATCTCATCGTTAAAAGAGGTTCATAATTGTGTGTTAAGCCAAAGCTGATTGGTTATACAACACTGTATCGATTATTTATCATTGCAGAAGTGCTGTATAACAAAACTGCCTCAAAATTCATGTGACTTAAAACAGTATTTAGTTTGTCCATTTGTCTAATGGATTTAGACTGATCTTGACCAAGACACTCCTGTTGTCAGCTGGGTATGTCCTGTCACATGTCTTCAGTCAGCTGGAGGCTACTGAGTATGTTCAGGAGGCTGACCTGGCTGTATTCTCATTCTCATGGTAGAGCTGGCAGAGAAGCATCATGCCCATTCTCTAACGGGTTTTCAAGACTTCTTTGGGTCATATTTGCTACCATCCTAGTAACTAAAGCCACTGTGTGGCCAACTTCAGAATTGAGTACAATGGTACAGTGCCCAGTTACATGGCAAAGGACACGGATACAGGAAAGGGTGAAGATTGCTGGGTATTAATGTGGTTATTCAGTGGTAGAGATTTAATGATAATAAGACTTAGGAATCTCTGAGGGAAAGAGTTTCTTGGACTGAAAGAACTGAGAAATCATGAGCCCACTAGTTGACTGGGATTGGATGTCCATATCAGATTAAAACTTTGTTTGTTAATGTAATTGGCCACATAGTAGAGTGAACTAGTTTCCCAGGATGATGATGGTGATAATGGCTATATCAAACATGGGGCAAGAATTAATCCAGTGGAGGGCCAGGGATTTAGCTCAGTGGTTCTGCTGCCTGCCTCACAAGCGCGAGGACCTGAGTTTGATCCTCAGTACCAAAAAAAAAAAATCCAGTGGAAAGGTATGGACTGAAGGAGGGGCTGCCCTGCTAATGTATTGAGAACCACTACTGTATAATATATGTACAAACTATGTTTTCTTAGGATTTTATGGGATAGGTATTATCTCTACTTCTCAAATGAGGAAATAAATACATTTGGGTTTAACTAAGTGGTAATTGGTTCAGCAATAATCTACATTTATGGGACTCCTAAACTGTCCCACCACTGCTTTGCAGAGTACCTACCAATTCATTTCTCTAGCGCATAATTGAGCCTATGCTATTTGTTGGGCACTGGAGATAGAAAGATGACAAATTCAGATGGCTGTCATAAAGTATGCTGTGTGCACAAGTAGCTGCCAAAGAAGATACAAAGGGGAGGGTATTGTCATCATCTGTACTTGTCTGTTTAAGTGGAGAGAGGGGATTATGTTTGTTCAAAGATGCGTCTGAAAAGAGACTCTTCATTTAGATCTTTCTAAATCAGTGAACCATTGCATTAGTCAGGCAGGAGAGGTAGGTGGTAATGGGTGATATCCCAGGAAGTATGTGTAAATTTGCAGGCAGAAAAAACCAGGGCAAATCTGGGAAACTGAATGTAGTTTAGATGTGTTATGAGGTGGAAGGACATTAAGAAATGCTTTGGGAAGGTGCAGAGGGACAGGTCATGGAAGAAAGTGTATTTTACACTTATAATACCTAAGCAGAGGCTGGACAGTAGAAGTTACATTGAGATCTGGTATCCTTGATCTTATGAGGTGAAAGTAGGTAGGTTCAAAACAATGTGTTTTAGCAGTTTTTCTCTCATATATAGTTTTATTTATTTATTATTTTTATCTTACTGAGTTTATTGGTACTTTTTAAGTATACAGTACAGTTAATTCATCATTGGGATCCTGTACCTTTACATGACAGGTCTTGGTTCTCATTTTTTCCCCTTGTCCCTGCCCTTTCTTCCCCCCTCCACCCTTCCCTATTTACAAAGACTTTGTTTTTATTTCTCATATTTTTTCTTGTCTCATTTCCTTTCTCCTAACCTTCCCCTTCCCCAACACCTTATATATATATTTATTAGTATATGTTTGCTGTACATAATAATCACATTCATCGTGGGGAATTGGTACATAGACACATCACACCTTAATCATTTTTACTTCCCCTTCTTCTTCTTGCCTCCTTCTTTCCCTGTATCCCCAGACCTTTACCCATTTTCACAAAGTATACCTCCCTCTTCCTATTATCTATCTTTTATTCCCCTGTTCAAGATATGCTGTAAAGAATTACTTAAATTTATACTGCCTTAGATAACAAATCTTTTCTGAGCATTTCTGAAATACTTTGAAGTTTAATATTCATTCTGTTATTTATTCACGATCTTCTATTTCTTTCTAGGCAGAACGTGTTCATGAGTTAAATGAAGAAATTGGTAAATTATTAGCCAAAGTGGAACAGCTAGGAGCTGAAGGGAATGTGGAAGAATCCCAGAAAGTAATGGATGAAGTAGAGAAAGCACGGGCAAAGAAAAGAGAAGCAGAGGTAAATTCATGTCTATATTTCTTGAAGAATATGTATTTGGAAATTACTGAAAAGTTTTTAAAAGGAATTTAAACCAATTTAAAACATTTAAGTGATCTATGCCATATAGTAGTTGTATTTTGTGTTAGAATTAATTGTTTTTGGAAATTTGGACCCATTGATCTGTTGAAAAAAACTGGTAAATGCAATTAAACCAGCTACCCACACATGGTAGTTACACAGAAGACACACACATTCTGCATGTTCTTAGTCACTGTGACACTGTGCCCCACTGACCAGATAGACCCCTGTGCTGCTTCTCTTGTTAACTTAGTACATTCTGCTCATTAACTAGGAGCTTTGTCTTATCCTTCTTTCCCAGCACAAGTAAACATCTGGTATCTTACAGAAAATGTTCTATTTTCATTGGAACAACCTAACGGTTTTTAGGAAATCCAGTGTCTTTCAGTAGGGATTACATTGCACTTTCTGCCTATATCCACTGCCTGTAACTGATCACATCAGGCTGGTTTTACAGTCCAACTGTGTGGCTGCTATAGATACCTAAGGATATGATTCCTACTTTGACATGGCTTCCTCTCAACCCTGGGGAACCTATCATAGTTTTCTTTTTCTTTTTTTTTTTTTTAACCTTTTCCAGTGTGTTTTAAGATGGCAGGATCTGTTGTGGCAGGATCAGAAAGGAAAGCCCTGTCATCCCAGGTGCTTTGGAGTACCTGTTGTTTCCCTTCTTTCCTGGTATTATTGCTCTTCAGAGTAGAGATGGAAGTAGAATAGAGATGTTGTTTTAGGACATTCTGAGCATCTCTTTTTTTTACGCTGCCTTATATGTTGATGTTTAGCAGAGGAGGAAGGTAAGCATTGAAGGGAGGGAAGAGAAAAGAGAAACTGTTTATTCCTCCTCACAGTATCAGTAGAATGATACTAAGAACATATTACATTCAGTAGTGTATTCTCTTCTTTGGAGAAAGAGGAGAACCCAAAACATGTTAGATATTTCTCACAGAAAAGAAAGAATTGAAGGAAATTCATGCAGTGTATCTTATTCCCCATTCATTCATTTATTTTAAGTATTAGGATTTTACCCTGGACCTTTGCACTGAGCTACATCCCCAACCCTGTTTTTTTAAGAAATTTATATTTGAGACAGTCTTGCTAAGTTTCCCAGACTAGGCGCTAACCTTGTGATCCTTCTGTTTTTAGATTCCCAGGGTGCTGGGATTATAGACATGTGCCATCACACCCAGCTCTCTAGCCATACTTTATAACTTACTGGTATAAGATTTTGTCTTTGGCTGATGTCAGGGTAATGCCAATTTATAAAATGAGTTGAAAAGTGATTTTTAAAAAAGGATTAGTATTGTTTTTTCCTTAAATGTTGGATAGAATTTACTTTAAGCCATCTAGGATTGAAGCTGTTCTTATAGGGAATTTTGTTTAGTTAAGAATTAAATTCCATGGGGCCAGGAATGTGACTCGCAGCACAGTGCCAGCCTTACAAGTGTGAGGTCCTAAGTTTGATTCCTGGTATCAAAATAAAAAAAAAAAAAAAAAAAAAAAAAAAAGAAAGAAAGAAAGAAAAGAAAAGAAAAAAATGAAATTCTCACTGGACATGATAATTCACACCTGTAACCCCAGCACTCAAGAGGCTGAGGCAGGAGGATTGCCATGAGTTCAAGGGCATTGTGGTCTGAACTGCATACTGTGGTGATCCTCTGTAACAAACAAAAAGAATTAAATTCTTGGGACCTGGGATTTAGCTCAGTGGTCCTGAGTTCTATCCTCAGTAAGGCAAAAAAAAAAAAAAAAAAAAAGAAAAAGAAAATAAATGACAAGATGGTAGGTTTAAATCCATTGTAACAATAATTATATCAAATGTAAATGTTTTTAAACATTGCAGTTATAAGACAGAGTTTGCTTGACTGCTTTTTTCTTTTTTATAAGACCAGTACAAGAAGCCCACTTTAAATATAAAGGGTTAAAACTAATAGGATGGGGGCTGGGCGTGGTGGTGCATGCCTGTAATTCCAGCACTTGGGAGGCTGAGGCAGGAGGATCACTGTGAGTTCAAGACCAGCCTGGGCTACATAGTGAGTTCCAGGTCAGTCTCAACTACATAGTGAGACCCTGTCTCAAAAAAAAAAAAGTAATAAGATGGAAGCCAGATGCGTAGTATGTACGCACTTATAATCCCAGCTCCCTCTGAGGCTGAGACAGGAAGATGACAAATTTGACGCCCACCTAGGCAATTTAGCAAGACCCTGTCTCAAAAGTGGATTAAAAATACAAGCCAGGCACAAGGGTGCCTGCCTTATCCTGGCACTCTGGGACACTGAAGCAGGAGGAACACAAATTCAAGCACAGCTGGGGGCAACTTAGTGAGACCCTGCCTAGAAATAAAAAGTAAAAGCTGGGAACATAGAGCTCAATATGAAGGCCCTGGGTTCAATTCCTAAGACTGTTGCTGGGGGACGGGGAGGAAATTCAGATGAAAATCAGCAGTAGTTGTTATAACCTGTGGATTAAAAAGTGGAGAAAAACAACATGTCCAGTGTCGGTACCAAGGTACTTACTAGTTACAAAAGAGAAAGAGTTACTTCACACTGGCAAAAATAGGCACTATCACCAGAAATGGGACCAATCACTGACAGGTGTCTCTTGATAGGATACATCATGATAGTGGCATTCCTGTCAAAACTCTAACCCGGGTGGGTGGGTTGGGGTTGTCACTCAGCACTAGTGAATGTGTTCAACATGCTTGAGCCTGTGTTCAATCCTCAGCGCCCTTCCCTGCCACATATTAACCATGAAACCAGACAAATTCAAACTGAAGTAGGTTTCCAAAATAAGTTATCAATACTCATTAAAACTGTTAATGTTATATCGAACAGAATAACAGTTCCACGTTAAAGTAAACTAAAGAGGCATAAGCAAATGAGACATGCCCTGAATTGGATTGTCTTTTGTAAATTCAAAACTTAGCAAGACCTCATCTCAGAATAAAAATAAAAAATAAAAAAGGGCTTGGTATGTAGCTCAAGGTAAAGGCCCTCAGTTCAACACCCAATACTTCAGGGGGGTAAAAAGCTAACTGAATATTATGGGGACAAGTGATGATATTTAAGTAAATTCTTTAATTGCCTTGTATCAATATTCTTGCTTTTAATAATTATTTGTGCATCTCTTTTTAGGAAATATGTAAAAATAGGGGTAAAGATAATGCAAATGCTGAACTGTTAACATTTGGGAAGTCTGGGTGAAGGATATAGGGGAATTATCTTTTCTTTAACTGTTCTGGAAATACTTCAAATCAATTTTAAATTGAAATATGCATGTACAGCTTCATGAAAGCAAGTCAACTACTACCTATATTATTGTCACAAATTGGTAAATAAATATATAAACTGTTTTAGTTTCTCATTAAGAGAAATCATGCAACATTTAAGCTTGTGTGCCTGAGTTATTTTACTAAACTTTGTTCTCAAATTGCATCCGTACATGCCTCAAATTTATCTTTATGCCAGAATAGTATTCCATTGTGTATAAATACATTTTCTTTATCCATTCATCTGTTGATAGACATATATGCTGTTTCCACAATCTAGCTATTACAAGTTGTGCTGCTATAAACAGCTTGGATCCCTGTAACATGACTTTAACTTTCTTTTTTGTTACTGGGGATTGAACTTGGGACCTTGTTCTTTCGAGGCAGGCAGCAGCACCACTGAGCTAAATCCCCGGCCTTGATGACTTTAACTCTTAAGGGAAGATACCTAGATGGGGGACAGCTGGGTCAGACAGAACTTCTATTTTTTAGTTTTTGGGGAATCTCCTCAGATTTCCCTAGAGGTTGTACTAATTTACATTACCAACAATGTAGATGAATTCCTTTTCTCCATATTCTCGCCTCGCCAGCATTTGTTATTACTTGACTTTTTGACAGTAGCAGTTCTCTTCACTTCCTTCCTACAGTGTTTGTTAAAAATTTGATGTAGGAGCCAGGCATGGTCATGCACATCTGTAATCCCAGCACTTGTAAGGGGGAGGCAGGAGGATTGCTGCTAGTTCAAGGGTAGCCTGGGCTATATAGTGAATTCAAGGCCAGCCTGGACTACATAGCAAAACCCTGTCTCAAAAAAAAATCTGATGGAAGAGGTGGAGAGAAGCCCCATTGTAGATCAGACTTTTAATATATATTTTGAAAAACAACATTGAGAAAACCTTTTCAGAAAGCTATATTTTGTGTTGTGTAATTATACTTTCTTGGCAAAAGGAGTTTGAGGCCATAGCTTTTGATCCCCTAGTGCAGCAGCCTAAGATGGAATGGAGACAAAAGAAAACCTGTAATTTTCTTGACAAAATACTGCTTTTATATATTCACTAGAAAACATTTTTAGTTTGTATGATTGTTGGTTTTCTTATTTTTGCTTAGGAAGTGTATCGAAATTCTATGCCAGCTTCCAGTTTCCAACAGCAGAAGCTTCGAGTCTGTGAAGTCTGCTCTGCCTATTTAGGTCTTCATGATAATGACAGGAGACTGGCTGATCATTTTGGGGGTAAACTGCACCTGGGATTTATTGAAATAAGAGAGAAGCTTGAAGAATTAAAGGTACATTGGTAAATTTATACCTTTCATTTTATTCTCCTTAGCCAGAATGTTTAATCCCTGATATATCCATTATTACCTTTTCAAGGAGGATTGAGAAAATGGGCCCATTGTTTATTTATAATGTTTTGCAGTTCTTAACTAAATAGCAGTCTTATGAACATCAGTTTTTACGCTTCTTCACTTCTAAAAGGACATAGAATGAAACTTGTGAAAGGACACTCACTATTGATGAGTTAAGTATGTAAGCTAAACTGTGGGTGATGGCACATGCCTATAATCCCAGCAATCTGAGAAACTGAGATAGGGTTCTAAAGTCAAGCCTAGTCTGGGCAATTTAGAGACTTAGCAAGACCCTGTCTCAGAAAATTTTTAAAGGGCTAGGGATGTAACTGAGGACAAAAGCTCTTGAGTTCAGTCCCTATTACCACCAAAATGTAATCTGTCGTGAAAAAGACAACACGGTTCTTTTGAGGGAATACCTGCACGGGGCACACACAAATGATATTTTGACGTGGTAAAGGTAAGGCAGCATGATGCAATTTTTTAAGAATCGTGACACTGTAGCACTTTGTTGCAGATTGAGGACTGTCTGGAGCATTGGCAACACTGAGTCACTGTCTGAAATTTTACTATTGAAATTAACCCAACATACATAGCTTGATATTTTAAATAATGTGGAATCAGAAACACCCATGGATATCTCCATATTACAGTTAACAGGGAGCCCTTTTCAGTTTTTTGAACAGCTAGCATGATTTCAAATACTTGTTTCTAAAAAAATATCAAAATGTTTCATTATAACAAATGGTTGTTGGGCTCTAAATTAAAACTCAAAAACAGTACTACTGGGAAGTCTGGATGGACACAGACCTAGCAACAGAACTCAGTGTTTCACTCAAATCTTCAAAGCAGCAGCATGAAAATGATGATTGGAAGTGGACATTTTCATGTGAGAAACCATAGGGAATGAGATCTGGCAATTAATGATGATGGTCTTTACATAAACACAAAGTAAAGCTAGGAAACAGAAAAAGCTAGTAAATACGATTTTAAGATGTCATTAAATCATATAGAAACATGAAGTTGTGCATATTTATACAAAAGGGGGAAAAGATTCTGGAAAGCAGACTTTAAACCTAGCATTTTATATTTGTCAGCTTCAAATTGAATTGTTATTTAACAAATTTTGATGTTATCTGCACTATTGGTAACTAGGAATGGAATAGATTAAAGATACTTAAGAATTGACCCAGTAAATATGCTCCTCATTTATTATTTTTAAGAGAGTTGTAGCTGAAAAGCAGGAGAAAAGAAACCAGGAGCGCCTGAAACGAAGAGAAGAAAGGGAGAGAGAAGAAAGGGAGAAGCTGAGGAGGTATGAAGTGATAAATAGTAAGAGTATTTGAAGTAGTTCTGAAGGAAAATGGGATCGATAGATTTCAAATGCTACTTAACCTGTGGGGATGTTGGACGTTTCTGTTTACTTTTTTTTGTGTGTGTGTGGTTAACCTGTGGGGATGTTGGACGTTTCTGTTTACTTTTTTGTGTGTGTGTGTGGTATCAGGGATCAAACTCTGGCTCTTGTGTTTGTGAGGCAGGGGTTGGAACCACTGAGCCAAATCCCCGGCCCTTTGTTTACTTTTAAAAAATATCACCATGCAAGTATCACCAAAATTTATATAAATTTTATATAAATACACAGGTCGAATACACTTTATCTAAAATGCTTGGGACCAGAAGCATTTCAGATTTTTGGAAGTTTTTGAATTTTGGAATATTTGCATTAATCTTTCTGGGTAAATAGCTCTGTTTTTAAAAGTCCAAAATCTGAAAAGCTTCAGAATCTTAAACTTTGTGACTCTCATGTCTGTGCTCAAAAAGATTTGGATTTTGCATTTCAGATTTTCAGAGTAGTGTTGCTCAGCCTGTATGAACTGTTAGTCTGAAGGTGATTGAAAAGATTTGTATTAGGTTGGCTGAGAACTACAATATATTCTGTTTAAAAAAAAAAAACAACATTTGTTGGTATGGAGCTTCAGTGGTGCAGTTGGTTAGTGCGATGTATTTATTGATAAAAGGTTTGAGGTATTTTGTTTCATCATTTTCCGTTAAGCTTTGTTATTTTCTCATTTCTAGGAGCTATAAACTAAGGATTCCATTAACTTAGTAATAACTAAATGTATATAACTCTGCTTAATATTTATTTGTTTATTTGTTTGTTGGTACCGGGGATCAAACTCGGGACCTTGCGCTTGCAAGGCAAGCGGCAGAACCAGTGAGCTAAATCAGTGGCCCTATTAATATTTATTAATAAAAATTTTATAATTTTTCATATTTAGACTGTTTAAAAGCAGTCTTCTGAGTTAGTTTTCTCTATTGGCAACTAAAATTGCATAGTACCATTACGGCAACAGTCTTATAACTCATGATCATACCTTCTTTTTAAGTACTTGAAGATGGACAGGCATGCTACAAAGGATTTACCTGTTCTAGTGTTTCCTGAGTTGTAGTATCCATTTCTGAAAGTTAAATATCTTCGTTCAGTTTTAGCAGACGTGCTTAATTAAAACCATTTGCAGTATGTGGATAGGTCATGCTAATTTCTAAACTTTCAACATACTTAAAGAAGTTTAAACAGATTTTATTTTGTTGTATGACTTGACTCTTCTCTTTTTTTTCTTTTTTGGTACTGGGAATTGAACTTTGGACCTTGTGCTTGCAAGGCAGGCGTTGGTACCACTGAGCTAAATCCCCAGCTTGTTGCATGGCTTTTAATGGTAATCTTTCTGCACTATAAGGACAAAATGGAACCAAGTTTATGTCCTTCAATTCTGTATCTTGAGGTGTATGTGCTAGTGTGTATGAGATCTCCCCCACACCCCCATCATCATAAATTTTACCTCAGGCTTTTCTCTTTGTTCTTTGGTATATACTAAATTCTTTTGGGGGAATATTGCCCAGGATTGTGATACTTGGGACAGAATAAGTAGCATTTTTCTTAACATTGGAATTTTCCATTTAGGATTTATGGGACGGTCGGGGATTTAGCTTAGTGGCACTGTGCCTGCCTCGCAAGCGCAATGTCCTGAGTTCAATCCCTGGTACCAAAAAAAGATTTAAGGGAGATGATAGGCAAATGAGAAAAGGATTTTTGCTGAACTACACTTACACCTCATGCTTGTAGGTGATGAGAAACTATGTTACGTCTTCTTTGCTTGCTGCTGTCTGACATATTTCTTTTGATATTGTAAAATACAACCTTGTTTCCGGAGTATTTAAAAAAATTTTTTTAAAACTCTAGAGCCAGGCATGCTGGAACACATCCAATAATCTCAGTGCTCCAGTGGCTGAGCTAGAAGGATGATGAATCAAGGACAACCAGTACTACATAACAACCCCCTGTTCCAGAAAAGCATGGGTGGGGGGATGAGGTGTTTAGCTCAGTTTAAGAGCACTCCTGTATTCCATCCCCAATATCACCCCCCACAAATAAATCCCTCATGAACCTCTAGAAGTACTGGAGATGAAATTGTAAGCTAATAGAAAATTATACAAGATAGTTCAACTATGATACTGAAAAAGACAGCTGAAAAATATCCCCATCGCTATATGCCAGGCACTGTGCTAAGAAATTGGCCTAGCTATTTTAGTCCTTATCCTTCATCTTGTAAATTTGTATTACTGTCCGTGTCTGCCGGTGATAGCCTAAGCTGAGAGAAGATACATGACTTACCTTGGTGACACAGATACTGAAGTGTGTTTAGGGACTCAGTTAAAACTCACATCTGGCTGAATCCAAAGTCATGCTTTCATCCATGCTATAAATTGTCTACCAAAAATCCTGCTATAATATTCTGGCCCTGTCATTAAGTCTTAGTGTTTATTGAGTGTTAACAGTACGCTGGGGAATGGGAAGAGTGCGCCTTATATCTCACTCATTTCGTGTGAGGAAACGGATGTGGGAAGTTTGAGTTGGGTGTTTGTTCTAGGGTTTATAACATGAGGTTATAGCTCCAAAATGTCTGCATTTCAGGCTATAAATATTTTACCCTTTTCCCAAAAGGGAAAAATAAAGTGACAGAAGCTGTGTATAACAATTTTTTCCAGGCTAGGAAGTGGTTTGTAGAGAATTAAGGAGTTGTGATACAGTATATTTTGGTCTTCTAGGAGTGTTTTCTTTTTAAGAGCCAGATATCCAATTAAGGGAGCCCATATGGCAAGGTGGCAGTCTGTAGAGTATATAGTACATTTTGGAAGAAATTTTTGTGTGCCTAGTGCCCTACATTTAAAAAATTATTATAAAAAATAGAAGTCAAAAACAATGTAACAACACATTGCACTGTTTTGTTATAGTCACTTTTCTAAAAATAGATATTCTTTTTTTAGGTCCCGATCACATAGCAAGAATCCTAAAAGGTAGGTATTATTATTCAAGTTAGTTATAGTGAAGTTGTATTTTTCACAGGCAGGTTTTATAGATTGAATGTCTTAAAAATTTATGAGGATAAATTATTACTTTTTTTTGGTAATTCAAGTTTGAGCATTGTCATTTCAGGAGAGAAACTAATCAGAAGGTACTCATGAATTACAATTTAATTTTTATCATAGTAAAATTATATATATTATAGTATACTATACTGGAATTACAGTGGAAAGCTAAAAAATATTCCCAGATATTTCTTAAATCATTTTTAGAAGGTCAGTAAATATGAAAGATTTATTTAAGAAACAACAGACTTATAGATTGTACCTGTTGAAGTAATTCAGTTTTTTAATGTTTTCCACAGTAGGTTATGGAAACTAAAATGTTAAACGTGTGTCCCAATTTTGCCTTTCTGTAAATTTATTACTCATCCCCATGTATTGTGATGGCTTCCAGAGAGGCATTTTTAACCTTTAAGAGGAAGAGGGAAAGATAATACATTCTTTATTTTGACTTTCAGCATTAATATGTAGGGCCTTTTTGGAACCTTTATTTGTAGTTTTTCTAGTTAATGAGAAAATGTTTATAAGAAAAGGAGAAAAATATGTTCCCCTTTATTCTTTCTTGTTTCTTCACTTGCCATTCTATTTCTTCTCTTTGGGTTTTGCATCAGAGATCTGTTCTCACCTAGAATGCCCTTTCTCATTCCCTTCCAAGTCCCCACCATTCCTCTTGTTCACATTAAATCTTTTTTTTTTAAACTTCTGTTGAGTACTCAAAAATAACTATTTTCTGAGAATTTTTCCCTAAAAATAAAGAACTTTTGTTACAAAAGAGAAACCTTATATTCCTGTTAGCCTCCCCTTAGTGCTTTTTAAAACTTTTCAGTGGTAGTTTTGCTTAAGACGGTAAAACAAAAGCTGCCTGTAATTCCTTCTCTCTGAGAGGCTTAGGGGGAGAATTGCACGATTGAGCCCAGCATGGACAATTTAGCAAGATCCTGTCTCAAAAAAGTGATGGGATGTAGCTCAGTCCTAAGGCTCTAAGTTCAATCCCCAGTACTGTGGGGGTGGAGGACACTAGAAAACTAAAAGGTAGTAATAAATAGACCAGTTATGTTAGGTAATTTATGAGTTCTACATAGAATGTCTTTTAGGTACTTCGGCCAGAAATTTACCTTCTACTACTCAAGTCTACCACTGACTGGTCTCACTTCCAACCTTGTCTACTCTTCTCCTCTACCTCTGAGTCTTTTTTTTAAAAAAATGAAATAGAGGGCCAGGGGTTTAGCTCAGTGGCACTGCACCTGCCTCACAAGCACAAAGTCCTCATTTCAATCCCTGGTAGCAAAAGAAAAAAAGAAACAGATTCCACATGCTGTGTGTCCAAGGATTTTTCATTTCCTTCATAGAAATTGGAGCCCTTTCCATACCTTTTAGATAAGATGATCATGAGCCCAACTTGCCTTGGGATACTTCTGGTTTATGTCTGTTTTCTTAGAATATCTGTTAATAGCTTGTTTTCACTTCGTGTAACGTATTCAGAGCCCCCCATTTTGAGTTTGCAGTTCTTTGTCATTCTTAGTTGTTTCATTCATCCACACTGTCTGTATCCTGTGTTCCTTAGCATGCTGAGGCTTTTCCTGCCTCAGGTCTTGCTTGGGTATGCTGTTTCCTACATGGCAGCTGTGCTTATTCCTTTCTTTCCATCTTTATCTCAGGACCACTTCTGTATAAAACATGCCTGCTGTTTTCTATCCAGCCAGCTTTACCAGGCAGAGATCTGCATACATTCTAGAATGTAAGCTCCAAGGGGCCAGGGACTTGGTTTTATTTGTTGCTCAATCTTCCCTTGTAGCTAAAACAGTGCTGTAGGTGTCGAGTAAATATATTCTGAATGGATGAATAATTGTCTGGAATTTTTAAAGTGAGTAAAATTATGCACTGGAATAGATTCATAATAGCTATCTCAAAATGAGTAGTTAAAGCAAATATCATTTGACAAAACTTGTATTGAATGACATATTCTTTTCTCTGTTCCTTTTTGCAAGTATTTTATTCAGGTGTAGGAATACTGTTAGGTGATTGACACTAGATCTACAATGTGCTGTTCTTTGCCTATAATGCTAGCATGAACTGAGTACTTTTAAATTTCATTTGTAACAAAATAATCATTTAAAAATGTTTAGTGTGTAAACATCATCCAAGTAGTGTGCTTTTCAACCTACTGTATTGAATTATGAGAAACCATTTCAGTCTTAAATGCTTAATGGGATTTAAAAATTTTAACCATTTTATCAGGGTATAATTAATATACCATATCATTTACTCATTTTAAGTGTGATGTCAGTAAATTTAAAGTTCTGCAATCCAACTTAGAATATTTTTTTTTCCCGTACTAAGGATGAAACCCATGGCCTTGCCCACTACATGTGAATAAAAAGAGAATGTTTAAATTTTTTAAAAAAGTATTACAGTAAAAGGCACATGGGCACATGGGGGCCTGGGCTTTAGGCTCAGTGTCGCCACTACCACCTGGCAAGACAAGGTCCTGAGTGTGATTCCTTGTACCAAGGAAAAAAACAAAACAAAACACATGGCTATTAATCCACCTCAGAATTTCCCGCTTGCTTTGATCATACTTTCCCCAACATTCTTGCCACTTCCCAAAGCAGTTCTAGAAGTCCTCTTTCCTCAGTGTCTTTACAAGGTGATTAAAAAAAAAAAAAGCGAATACTGCTGCGAGTGCCATCCAACAGAAAGGCAGGCTCATCAAAACATTATGGTGTGTCCTCATCCACTTTATTCACCAGATCTAGCACTGTGTGACTCTTGGCTCTTCCTCAAAGTCAAAATGGCCATGAAAGATAAACATTTTAAATTGATTCAGGAAATAGAAGAGGTCCCGAGAGTGCTACTAATGATGCTCATCAAAGACGGTTTTTAGAACTGTGTCAGAAAGTGGCAAGAATGATGGGTTGTGTTTGAAGCAAGGGGGGAGTACTTTGAGAATGTTTAATGGAAAATGTATTTTTTTAATGTAATTTTTAAAAAAATTTAAATATTCACCTTTCTTCCTCTCATGCTGTGTTCTATCACTGAGCTACATCCCCAACCCTTAAAAATTATTTTGAAACCAGATCTTGTTAAATTGTCCTGCCTCTGAGATTCCAGCAACTGCATTCATGTACCCATCTTCTGTCATTATTTAAAGAAAATTGCTTGCTTTATTCACCTCTTCTTTCACATTTCTGTTATCTGCATGCCATCTTTACTTTTGCCACCCCACACAAGTTAGTTGTGACCTGGTCATGGATATGGAAATATTTTTCCTTCTCTACTACTGTATAGTTAGCAATACTTTTTTTTCTTTTTAATCAGTTTAGGTAAAGTTCTCTGAAGTAATTTTTGAGTGCCCCCCCTTCAAATTATATGCTACTCAAGAACTGTTTCATTGTTTTGATTATTCTGTGATTTGGCATACTGGGCATTCCACACTTCTGTTCACAGCCTAATTCTGACAAAGAGAAATTTCTCCTAAACAGTGTACCTTCTGTTCCTATCCATTGGTTATATACTTAGTTCTTAAAGAATACTAAAAAAATCTTGGAAGTTTAATGAAACTATCTCATAAAGCATAAATTCCTGGATTCCTGGCCTATATTAGCAGTAGATTGTTGTCTTCATTTTTCTTCTATATTCCTGGTAAAAACTAGTGTTTTTTGTTTTGAAGTCTTAATGTATAGTTGTTATAATACCAGAAATTCAGTATACATTTAGTTGACTTGGAATAAAATTGATACAAGACTCTAGAGACTATTTTTAAAGAGAACGCTATTTAAGTGAGAGATTGTAGTGCTGACAGAGGAAAAATGAAGTCAAAGCTTGTTATCTTGTAGATCGAGGTCCAGAGAGCATCGCAGACACCGATCTCGCTCAATGTCTCGAGAACGCAAGAGGAGGACTCGATCCAAGTCTCGGGAGAAACGCCATCGCCACAGGTCCCGCTCCAGCAGCCGTAGCCGAAGCCGCAGCCATCAACGAAGTCGACACAGTTCTAGAGATAGGAGCAGAGAGCGGTCCAAGAGGAGGTACTGACGTGCTGATCGGAGGATGTGGAGCTACCTTTATGTTTAGCCTGTTGTTTGCTTATGTTATTTAGGGTTAGAGTTTAGATTATTGGTTTGAACTTGCACCTGGTGATATGTACACATTTGTGTGTGGGTGTATACATTTTTTTCCAGATTATATTGGTAGTTCAGAAAGATTTACATGTGAGCCCAAATAAGAAATTGGAACTGATCTGTGCAGAGGTAATTATTATTGTTTTTCTCTGCTCCGTATGTCTTGGGGGGAAAAAAAGTATTTTACAGGCAAATAATTTTAGGTATTAATAACTCTTGAATTTTTTCAATATGTATTAACTCCTTAGGGGCTCTGAGAAGCCCTTTCATTAAGAGTTGTTTAGCTTTGACTTACTGTTTTCCAAATTTATTTGAGCTGGTACACATTGAGAGATGACACATTCTAGTATATTACCTGTATGCTATAGGTAATTGTCTGTACAGCTTGGAGTGGCAGGTTCAGAATTTTAAGGAACCACCGGGCGTGGTGGCGCATGCCTGTAATCCCAGCACTCGGGAGGCTGAGGCAGGAGGATCGCTGTGAGTTCCAGGTCAGTCTGAACTACATAGTGAGACCCTGTCTCAAAAAACAAAAAAAAACAAAAACAGAATTTTAAGGAACCTATGAGACTTCTTGGTATAAAGAAAAACTCAAAAGTTGTAAGGGAGGCAGACACTGGGTGAGATATACTTAAAGACCTGAATATCTAAGTGAGAGGAGACAAAGAATGGTTGAGGAGTTTAGTCCTCACAGTGTATACAGTCTAAGCTCCCAAAACTTCTCAGGTCACATCATAGCCCTTAAACCATATTTTGGAACATAAATCATATTTAGTTTGCTTTGTTTTCCTTTACAGCTGTTCGTAAATACATTAGGATGAACTTTTTTTTTTAGTGCCTAGTACTCATTTTACATTTTCTATGGATTATTCTACATAGAGTCTGTGATAGAATCCATAGAAACCTGTTTCTATTTGTTGTACTGCCCATTCTCTGAATTCACTCACAAGCTGAATGCTTTATAGAGCCCCAATTGGCATTTCTTATATTTCTAGCCTTTTTCTTAGTCCTTATGATGACTCATCAGTGAAAATTGTATGCTTCCTACTGCATTAGGCTTAGTAAACAAAGAAATGTAACATAGTTAATTAAGCACCCATATTCAGGTTGTGGTAAGAAGCTTGCTGGAGGAGTTAGAACACAGGACTGACATTGGACACCAGATTATAAAGTGCTGACCTGGATCCAATAGGGTAAGTGATGCAGGTCTAGATGAGAGAAATGCCAAAGTGACACAAAATGGCTTCAGGTCATCAACGAAACTGGAACACAGTAACTGTAATTTACTTAGGTTGTATAGTTATAGGCTGCTTGTCCCACACTCTTGAAACTGGATTTTGGAGGCGACACTCAGAGCAGTGTCTAGAAATAAGCATTTGTTAAAAGTTCTCTGTAAATCTTAATCTGTACATTATATTTTGAGAATCATGCAGCTAAGTGATGAAGATCTAGACAATTTCTTGTGTTGACCTGCCCAACTGTCATTGTTTCTGGTGTTTGGTTTCTGGTGTTTGTGAACTCTTAAATATTGGTGGTGGAGTTGGGAGGGATGGGCAAGGATCTCATTCCCTGAGATTATGTCATCTGAGTCCCTGATGCTTCCTGCAATTGTGAAGTTGTATAGGAAAATTTTCCACCTTACTACGTGACACCCTTAACATCTGAGACTTCAGCATGTTCACAAAGAGTCCTATTTTTGTAAAACTATTAAAGGTTTTGCTTTTCTAAAGAGCACCTCTCATCTTTGAATTCAAATTACTCTTTTGAAACATCATTTTTACCAAAAATTAGCAGGTAATTGGTATTAAAACTTATTACAAATAACATTAAATTTTGCAACAAATGCGGATTTTATTTTTGAAGGCAAAAGTTCCCATCAGAAGTCTTTGTGTTTAAGTCTTTGTGTTTTGTTGTTCTCCTGCCTGTACTGGTAAGCACTGGTCCCTGGTACATGGTAGATTGTCTCTGTGACCTTTCCTTGGCCCCCATTCCCTAGGCCAGCGAGGACCACTTGCAGCTTTTCTCCTGCTTGCTCTGTTCAGACATGGACAGTGCAGCCTTGCAGAGTCAGACCACATGGGCAGTGGTCCTGGCCAAGTAAGGCCGTTATGTCACCTATCTACTGCTTTATTAGGATTATTGGTAGTACAAGTAAGAGGTGTATACAGACTACTTGTAGGTGGGATGTTATTGCTCGCATAGCATTAGCTAATGTTCATTGCAGTTATTTTTCAGTTCTCATTACTAGAACTTAACAGCATTCAAAGTCTTTATTCTAGGTATAATTTCTGTGATCTTTACATTCCATTCCTACAAAGGCTATAGAGCTAGTATAGGCTTGGAATTACTAGACTCGCATTGTGATTTTAACACATCATTTTAAGATTAACCTTATTAAAACTTTAAGCAAAATGCTGAAACTTAATAACCTTTCAGTCTTTTATGTTTAAGCCTCCTGAACTATATAAAACTGAGTATATTATTATTTTGCTGCCTTATGTTTTCCTGAAACTATTTCTTATTTGGGGCTGAGAGTGTAGTTACACAGTAGAATATATGCTTAGCCTACACCAGGCCCTGGGTTCAAACGCCAGCACCAAAAAGAACAGTGTTATTCAGGTCTTGGCAGTGCCTCAGATCTTAATTCTAAATGTGGGTTGAGATAATTATGTAAAAGTTCTGTATCACCTGTAAAGAACCAAATAAATGTAATATTTGTTACTCATTAATTTTAGATGTTGAAAATATAGGATTCTATATTTATTCAAATTTCATAATATCCTTTGGTTTTTCTTCTGAATCTGATACGAGCTTTTTTTTTTAATACCTTTCTTACTGAAGATGGATATGGGAACAGGGATGGCAGTATTAAGTTATGGTTAATCAAAATTTATTAGTGTGGATTATCTTTTTCTGTCTTCCATTCTGGTTTTAATGAGTTAACTCAGGAGTAAAGCATTTTTAAATTAACAAATAGTTACACAAAGCCATATTATTGACTATTTCTCTTGGGTAAGTCCGATGTTGGCAAACTCTTGCCTACAGGCTAAATGAGGCCTGTAGCCTGTTTTTGTACAGCCAGCAAGCTATGGATGGTTTTACATTCTTAAGGTTGGTAAACAGAAGAGGAAGAATACTACCACAGAGATTATGTGACCTGCAGCACCTCAGATGTTTACTGTCTGGCCAGAAAGCAGACCGAAAAGATTTGCTGACTTATTATGTCATTGATTTCAATCCAGTTTTGAACCTGTTCTTACATATTTTTTAAAAATCTGATACCTTTTACTTTTTGAAGCTGTTATCTATTTATTATTTTTATATTAAGTACCTTTTTATGAATTGAAGCTTTACAGTTATCTCCAAGATACTAAAAATATCTTGTAAGTTATTTTAACTTAGACTTTTTGACAGTACTCGGGATTGAACCTGGGGCCTAACATGCTAGGCAAGCACTCTCCCACTAAGCTATTACATCCCCAGCCCTTTTTAATTTTTTTTTTTTTTTTTT